TGAAAAGATCTCCCATGTTCTTAGATAGGTAGACTTATTATTGTCAAAATAGACATACTACCAAGAACACTATACAGATTTATTGTAATTCCCATTAAAATTCTAATGACATTATTCATAGAAATAGAAAAAGAAGTCATGAAATTCATTTGGAAAAATAAGAGACCCAGAATAGCCAAAGCAATCCTTAGCAAGAAAAGTAAAGTAGAAGGCATCACAATACCAGACCTTAAATTATTCTATAGAGCTATAGTAACAAAAATGACATGATGTTAGCACAAATAGAATTAAAGACCAATGGAATAGAATTGAAGACACAGAGACAAAACCACAAAAATACAGTTATCTCATACTAGACGAAGGTGTCATTAACATACATTGGAGAAAAGATAACCTCTTCAAGAAATGGTGCTGGAAAACGGGAAATACATTTGTAGTAGCCTGAAATTGAACCCATATATCTCACCCTGCCCAAAATTCAAAGCTGATCAAGGACCTAGGCATTAGATGAGAGACTCTGTACCTACTAGAATTAAAAATAGGCCCAACTCTCTATCACGTCGGCTCAAGAATGGACTTCTTCAGTAAGACTCATAAAGCACAAAAAGTAAAATCAAGAATTAATAAATGGGATGGTATAAAACAAAAAGTTTTTTCATAGCAAACAAATGATCAAAAACATGAACAGAGAACCTACAGAATGGGAGAAAATCTTTACCATATGCACCTCAGAGCATTAATCTGCAGGATATGTAAAAAAATCAAAAATCTTAACACCCAAAACAAAAACAAAAACTCCAAATAATCCAGTCAATAAATGGGCAAAGAAACTGAACAGGCACTTTACAGAAGAAGAAATGGTCAAAAATATAAAAAAATGTTCAACATCTCTAGCAATTAGAGAAAGGCAAATTAAAATCATGCTGACATTCCATCTCACTCCAGTTAGAATGGCAATTATCTCAAACTGGTGCAAGCACTGGAAAGCAGTATGGAGATTCCTCAGAAAATTTGGAGTGGAGCCACCATTTGATGCAGTTATCCTACTCCTCAGTTTATACCCAAAAGATTAAAATCAGCATACTACAGTGACGCAGATACATCAATGTTTATAGCAGCTCAATTCACAATAGCCAAGCTATGAAACTAACCTAAACATCCTTCAACAGATGAATGGATAAAGAAAATATGGTACATATGCACAATGGGATATTATTCAGCCATAAAGAAGAATGAAATTATGGCATTTCCCAGTAAATGGATGGAGCTGGATAATATCATGCTAAGTGAAATAAGCCAGTCTCCCAAACCAAAGGCCAAATGTTCTCTCTGATATGTGGATGCTAACCTATAACAAGGGAGGCTAGGAAGGTGAAGTATAGAAATTCATTGTATTAGACAAAGGGAAGGGAGGAGGAATGGGAATAAGAAAGAAAAAAGAACCAGACACAACTTTCCTATTCTCACATATGAATACATGACCAGTGTAACTCCACATCTTGTTCAACCACAAGAATGGGATCAAAATCCGATTGGGTTGCACTCCATGTATATAGAATATGTCAAAATATTCCCTACTGTCATGTATATCTAAAAACAACAAACAAAAATTACAGCTTAGTCTCAGTTTAATCTTTCTTGATGTCTGTTAAATAATATCACATGCTATATTGAACATGTTTTCTACTCTCAGCATCTTTCTAGTCCTGATACACTGGCCTACAGTTCTGTGTTAAGCCCTTTAGAAAAGTGTATAATTCCATAACTAATTAAAACATACATTCTTCAATTCTAACAGGTAGTGACCATACTCTTTTAAGGTGATAATCAAATGTAGCTTGCACGTGGTATTTTTTCTGGTGTCTATATATCTTCATGGCAAATGAAGGCACAAAATTAATTATGCCAGCCATTCTTTCTGCCCTGATGTTAGTTTTTTATCTCTTTGTTTTTGAGCAAAGTAAACATGCATATTAAATGTTAAAAGTTTAAAAACAAACTTGGAAACATAACCTTTCCAATATCTACACATAGCCAAAACACAATGATTCATGAACTAATCATAAACAGATTATTTGATCACAAAATACTTTAATCTCTACATCACCAAGTTTCTAAAGTTCACTAAGGTCAAGGACATGCATTTCCCATAGTATTTAAATGGGTGATTAAAATTTATTTATTAACTTTATTTCTGCCATTCTTCTTCTTTAATATTTATTTTTTAGTTGTAGTTGGACACAATATCTTTATTTTATTTATTTATTTAATTTTATGTGGTGCTGAGGATAAAACCCAGGGCCTTGCATGTGTTAGGCGAGCGCTCTACTGCTGAGCCACAATCCCAGCCCCTGCCATTCTTCTTTCATTACTTTACTAATTATTAAATATATGGAACTTACTACAAAATGACCCATGGTTTTACTTTAAAAATGTATTCATTTAGTAGACAGATGGGCATATTTAATAAGAAACTCAAATTAAGCATGACATATTTCTTTAAGTGAAATGAACCCTTTGCATTTAAATTTATGAATGCTGCAAGATAAAACAATGAAAGAGGAGACTTTAAGAAATGAGCAGGAGTCTTCAAATATCTGCTTCATTCAAAATAGATGGAAATGAGTATGAACACAGCAAGTTAATTTGTTTCTATTTTGAGCACCTCCCTTTATACAAAGTTATTCCTTTACTTTTCTGTATTGTTTTTGCTGTCTAATATAAAAAAATATTCAGCAACTTCTCAGATAGTGAATTCCAAATGTTCTCATTTCTCAATAATGTACATCATGTTTCCTTTGCATTTAGATTTTTGAGATCTGTTTTTGGTTTTGCTTATGGAAATAGAATATAAGAAAGAACTCCTGAGGGTTAACGTCTATGAAGGTTGTTTGAAATAAATACAATGTGCATCTGTTCTGTCTCATATCATCTATTTGAAACTCTAAGTAAGCAAATTGCATCGTTCACATCAGAAAACACTATGGACTGAATCAATGTAATAAGCAGTATTGCAGGAGGGTCAAGCTCAAAATAGTGGAGAGTAATCACACATCCTTCCTGGAAAACATGTATTCTGGAGGGACTGTTTAAAGAGGAAAAAAAATCACTGAGAGCTCAGGAGGTCACATTATGATTACTTCTTTTTTCACTACCCGTCAAATTTAGGCAATTTGTCATCCCAAAAGGAAATAACCTCTTCAACTTTCCTCTCTAGAAATCTTAAAAATAGCTATCTTATTTCTTCTATACTCATACTTCCCTTTATACTACCTGCATATACCTAAATTAACAGGCAAAATATATAGTCCACCCTGTTTTTATCAGTCCACTTTGAGATTGTGTATTTTTATGTTAGATGACATCTTAAATGATAATATAAAAATCATGTTAAGTGAAATAAGCCAGAAACAGAAAGACAAGTATTGCACATTTACTCTTATCCAAGTACAAAAGGGACTATTAAGGACTGGGAAGGGGTTGGGGAGGGGAAGAAGGGGGGCAGAAAGGAAGGTGGACATGATCAGCTCATGATAAATGTGTATGAAAATGTCAACATGAAACCCATTAATTTGTAATTAATGCATGTTTATAAAAAATAAATGTCTTTAAAAAAATCTTTAAAATGTTACCATTTACAATGCCAAACATTTTGCGGTGTAAACATATACTTAATAATGTTTTCATAAAATGCTGCATTAATTCCTTTTAAGTCAGTGTCTCACATCTTTACATTTTCTATTTATCTTGCTTTGCCTTTGCCTCTCCTCCATCTTTCCTGTCTTCAATTGGATTAGTCCAATTATTATAATCTTCATTTTCTTTGCCTTTGATTCAAAATTTCTGTTTCCACTATTTTGTTACACAATATTTTTACCTGTGTACTTGATTCAAAAAAGTCTAAAGTTTATTTTTGCATTTTTCATAAACAAAATATCAGAACTTTAAACCTCATTTTGATTGATTATCCCTAATAAAGTATTGAGAAATTTTTGTTTCTTGATATTTCAAACACGTTTTGTTGTTGTTGTTGTTGTTTTATATAAAGTCATTGTTTCCTGAGTGAGAAATAGTTATTTGCCAAATTTTCCCTACTATTCCTCAAATTTCAGTCCTACCTTGTAAGTCCTATTTCTTTTATCATGAAGTATAACCAACAACAAAAACCCTTAGTAAACTATGTAGTAAACTCTTAAGTTTCTGTTTCCTATAAATTTATTATTTACATCTTATTTTAGCTGAATTTAAGGTGAAAGTTTTAGTTATTTGTGACTTTCTTTTTTATTGTGACTTAAAAAAAAACAGAATGAGTTTATATTTAATACAGTACTTCTCAATATGGGGATGTTACTCAATACAAAGTTTGTTTTGCTTACATTGAATCTCTTCCAATGTCAATAAAATTTTTAACATTAATTTTCAATATTAGATACATTGAATACATTTTTTTCAAACATTTCATTCCCTAGAAATAAACATTTCAATTTTGGCTATTTGATATCTAAGTACAATATTAACTTGGGAGATAAAACAAACATAATAAAAACATGGGGAAAAAGACTCCTTAAGGTTTCAGGAGGCAGTATGATAACTCTCAACAGTGGAGATTTTCTAGATTCTGGACAAGAGATTTCTCCTCATATTTCACATGCTTTGAGAATTTTGAAACTATTAACTAGTACTTCTGTAAATTTATGCTATCCCACATCTTTGACCCTTTTTCTAAGCAGCAAATACAATTTATAGGCTGCAGTTTTCACTGCATTATTATTATATTTTGAGAGAGAGAGAGAGAGAGAGAGAGAGAGAGAGAGAGAGAGAGAGAGAATTTTTAAACATTTTTTTTTAGTTTTCGGCGGACACATCTTTTTATGTGGTGCAGAGGATCAAACCCGGGCTTGCCAGGCGAGCGTGCTACCGCTTGAGCCACATCCCCAGCCCTTCACTGCATTATTTGTTATAAAGAAACATTTTTTCCCATTTAATGAACATCTATTTGTTCCCATTTCATGGGAAACAACTTAGAATATGAAATCATTACTGTTCATTGGGAAAATTACAAAATAAAACCCAGGTTTAACCTCAATAACAGAAAAGTTTTCAAGGTGAAGTTTGAAAGTTACATCTGTTCATTCTGGTTTCATGCATACACACCAACGCAAGCACAAATGCCTGTAATGCTTAGAACCACACCAAACAAGATTGCATCTTTGGCTTCTACTGCTTCAACAACTGGCAGAAACAGAAGCAGTGAAATGATGATGAAGAGCAATTGTGTTAAAACTGAGGTCATAATGTTGGAATCTTGAAGGCTAAAGGTTCCAACAAAATGGTATATACAAAAATCTGACTTGAAATATTCCCTTTTGGGAGCTCTGGATGCTGAGGCTAAGAGAGTGCCATGACATCACTTTCCGGGAAGCAACCATTATAGGACTCTTATTGTGACTTTTGAGAAATCTATTAATTATGCCTTTGTTGGTAAACTTTCCCCTGGATGCCATCAAGAGTCTTTCCTGTCTTAGGTATTCAGTAAATGTCAAGATATAGTTCTATTATTATTTATCTACCTGTAACTCATTCTTTTCACCAGTTCTTAACTCTTTCTTAGCCATTATCTTTAAATATCAGCCTTTTCATTTTTACCTACTCCTTCCTCTTAAAGTCAACTTAAATGCATGTTCAATCTTGTTATTTCATTCTCTTGAGTCTTTTCAAGTCTGTTTTACATTTCTTCGCTTTACCTCTATGAGTTACTTTGGCATGAATTTTTTCAAGATGATCCTCCAGCTAGTTTACTCATGACTTTTTCAAATCTTTCTAATCTGCAGTTTAACCAACAGAGTTTTATTTCTAATGATTTTTTACTACTAAGTTATTTTTTTTGTATCTTGTCTATATTGTCTTAACTCCCTTTATTTTATCACTTTTGTTCTTGAGATTATTTTTTCTATTATTTTGTAAAATTTTAAGGATAATTGTTTTAGACTTTACTCCTTTAATTCCATTATGTGAATTACTTGTGCATCTAATTTTAATGTTTGCTGTTTAATCTGAATACTAGCAAAACTACAAAATATTGCAAAACATTTGATGTTGAATTTCACATAGACCCTTTTGACCTTACCACATAAAAATCTATCATGAAGGTAAATTTCCAATAATATAGAAAAAATAAATCAGCATAGTGTTATTAATTTGGTATTATTTTGACTTGTAAAAATATTGGTAACAGAGAAATGACCATAAAAGATATTAGTCAAATAACCTGCTATATATTCACACTGTGGAAAATACATGTATATTCATTCCATTGAATGTATGCCTATTTTGGAAAAGACACACCAAAAGGATCAATGATAATATAATGGTATCTATTTATTATTTATGGAAGACTATTTTGCCACAATATTTCTCTTCTGTTACTCCCATTATCACTAGTATTATATAAATAACATGAAGCAAAATTGTTTGTTTCTCAATAAAACATGAACTTTTAGGACAATCTTATCCAGAATTGATCAAAGAAAAGATCACCTGTACTCATTTACATTGAAATAGTCCTTTGAATTAATTCAGCTCTAGTGCATAATTTCATATAAGTACTGTTTAATCTCTTCACATATTGACTAATTTGCATAACACTGTGTCTGCCTCCCTCTGATTCTCTGTCAGACTAATTCTCTCTGATCAAGTTTAACTCCAAAAAATACTTAATTATTAATAGGACTAACCTGCTATAAAATAGAAATATGTGATTGATATAACTTCATTAACCTCAAATATACAAAATAATTCATATCGTGCTCTTTTTCAGCAGAAATATTTTTCAGTATCTTTTTCTCTAATGTAGAGTACTATTAACAGCAAAAATGTATTCTAAACTTCAGGCCCTTAAAATCTTTGGAAGGCTTCTGAATCCAGTAAAAACCAAGAGAGTATATATAAAAATTAATTGAGCCAATGTTTTCTACCTGTGGCCCAGTAGCATCAGGGAAAAAAAATCTTTGAACATCTATTAATAAGTTAAACAACAGTACTTGAAGACTATTTTTTATTGAACCCTTTTCTGTTTTCCCTTATTCATAGGAAAGTCAAGAACAAATATGAATGTCCATTTAACACCAACACCTAAGTTCCTAGAAATGCTCTTTTGGTGCTCTGCTGCATAGCTTCATTCTCCTCAGTGTATGGGCTTCAATTTTCTTTCACCATTAGTCTCAGAAAGCAACTCAGATTTGCTTACTATACTTTTCCTGCACATTGCAGCACATTATAGGTTGAGTCTTCTGATGCTATACTGAAAAAAAATATCCCCCAAAGTTCACATATGCCTAATAATTGAATATGATCTGGCTCCAGAGAAAAAAATGATAAGAGAGTATATGTGTTTAAATCACTGCAGTGGGGTAAAAGCAGACATTCACCTAAGGTGCATTATTCTATGAATGCTCAGCACAGAACCTTACATATATACGATTTCCTCTAAAATATCAAGAGGAATTTAAAGTAAAACTTTTTGTTTTGTTTTGATCTCTAAGTTATGTATTGGACAAAGTAAGAAAGTTGAAAGGTGAAATGATTGGGTTATGAGAGCTTTATCTTAATCAGTGCCTTAATTCCACAATCAGGATTGCCTGGGTGGCAACTAGGTATGTAGAGTGTGGCTGGAGGAGACGGGATACTGGGGGCATGTCTTTGGAGTTTATAGTTTGTTCCTGGTGAGTGGAACTCTCTTTCCATGTCCTGAGCTACTTTCCTCCACCAAACCCTTCTCCCTTGATATCATACCTCACCTTGGGCCCAGAACAATGAAGTTGGCCATCTATGGACTGAGACCTCTGAAACTGTGAGCCCCAAATAAACTTTTTTTTCTGAAATTTTTCTTTTCAGGTGTTTTTCTAACAGTGCAAAAAAGCTGACTAAAACAGTGATTAAAGTGAATAATTCTGAGCCAAAAGTTCAGTTTTCTTCCTTTACTGAATAAACATTCTCACTCTCTGAGGAAGTTATTCTTCAGAGTCATTTCTAGTTGCTAATGACTTGATTAGAGGAAACAAAAAAAATTCTCAAGAGTTTCTATTAAAACAGTGTGATGACATAATGGCTCTCCAAAGATGTCCATATCCTAATGCCTGGAACGTAGGAATAGTAAGTGTCAAAAAGTATTTTGCAAACATAATCAAGATTATGGATCTGGGTTACCTTTGTGAACCCAATCTAGTCTTTATGATCCCTTAAAAGGAAAGAACTGTGTCTAGTTGATGATATTGGAGAAATATAGTGGAAGAGGAGGCAAGAGAATAGCAACAGAAGAGGAAGTCAGAGAGACTCCAAGTGAAAAAGGATTTCATGTACATTTTCTGACTATGGAATAAAGGGATCAATCTAAGTATGGGATAGAGACTCCTGGGAGTAAAGGGTATCCAGCAACTAACAGCCAGGGAGGAAATGAACTCATTTATCCTGCAACCACAAGGAGCTAGATATTGTCAATAACTTGACAATCTTGTAAGCACATCCTTCCCAGAGGCTTCCAAGGAGTTCATCTACTTAAAACTTTCAGTCTTGTGAAACCAACTAAAACAGGGAATCCAGTTGAACCATGCCAGACTTTTGACCTACAGAAAGCATGTGTCAATACATGTATTATTTTAAAGGTAACTTTTTTTGTTATAACAGTGAAAGAAAACTAATACATACAGATAATGCATCCTCATGAATGTTAACTTTCCCACCATCGGATGATATGTAGAGAGCCAAATCTGGAAACTCAGCAACACAACATGATCTCATATCTCATGATCCCCTACACCCTGAAGGAAAACACTGTGGTCAAAAAGTGGTCTTCTCAATCACTGAATGGGCAGCAGTTTCTCTCACCAGGAGAATTTTCTCTCCTTTGGTGAAGTTCGTACATTACTAATGGGAATCTAGACCCCTGTGTTAACTGTTCTTTGGTTACACAACTATTTTAGTTTACACACACACACACACACACACACAAACACAATTTTTTTTCATAACATACCTAGAGGAACAAGGTGGCTAAAGTTCAGTAGGTTTTCTTTCTTAGTTTCCTTCTCCTGATCTCTGACACCAGCCTTTGAGAATGGAGAATATCTGTCCTCATATGCAAAATTTTCCTGACATGTTTTCCTAGAGGATTGTCCTGTGCTTTATGGAACTACATTACCTTTTATATATGGTGTAAACTTATCCTACAAAAGATAAATGGGTGGATAAATGAGTGATTCACATACTTAACTAGCACTGATTTACTTCCAACATGTATATAGCAGCAGTTTCCATTCCTCATGATATACAATACAGTAAATATGTGATCCCCTGAAGGAAGAGACCTTACTTTTGAGAAAGATATATTCATCACTTTAACAATGGACAGACTCAATACTTGCAATTCTTACATAACTCTAACAATATAACACAAGCATAAGAGAACAATACAGTGAGTTAGATACCATTATTATGACCATTGAATTCACAATAAAAATGAGAACACAGAGAAACAATAACTTTTACAAGACTCCACAGCTTGAAAACTTCAGAATCAAAACCAGGCAGTATGGTTCCAGGGACTCTTTACCATTAAACCAAAATTCACCTTTTTACATTACCTTGGTTATATTTTATTCCAAATGCATGTGAAAATGCACATGTTCATAGAGGCATTAACAAACAAAGAGGTAATTTATTTGTACTATTTGCAAATCCATTTCAATTATCTATTATAGAATATCACACTAACTGACATACAAGATCAAATTGTCAACTAAGAAAAATTATAGAATGTACTGTTCAGTTTAGAAAGAGTTCTTTCCACATTTGTTACATTAAGAGTTTCTCTGCTAAAATGTCAAAACCTCCACACTTAAATTTTTAACCTAAATTTTATAAGAACTATTTACAACACTAACATTAATCTCTTGGAATTTGTAATTTTTCAGACTCTGAAATATATTTTAAATTTTCAAATTTTGTAACTTTCCCCTTTACTTGCACATCTTAATAGAAACTTCAATTTAGTTAAACCTTGAAAATGATGGGTTGATACGATGAAAATAGCAGTAGTTCATAGTGCATATGTAACAAGTTTCCTCAACAAGATTACAAAGTTGTATTATGTTCCAAAACTGCCTTCCCATATCACACACTGACCCATCACATCCAATCAAGTTTGAGGTTCAATGTGCCAACACCCCCAGTGAGCAATTCAATGGTCAAATATCATTCCATTCATTTTTGTCTTTTATCCCTACAGTTGATAGATGTTCAATCACAACTTTGACTGCAATGGTTATTTCATTTTTCCCTGACTTATATATTTTAAAAAAGAAAAAAAAACAAAGTAAATTAAAGGATGTACCAAATAAAACTGGCATAGATTAGTTTCCAATCTCATTTTTCTTCCCTCTTAATTATAATGGTATTTAACTATTTTCATTTTTCCCACTCAAAAATAGTATATCTAAAAATATTTT